TGATTTCTGTGGACTGCAGTAGGCAAATCAATGCGTATATAGTTTCCTTCCTGAGTGCAATAAAACAACTCATCTCGCTGTGTCATGTCCCCAAGCTCTTGCCATAAGCAAGTTCCTGAATGTGGACATATAGTAAGTGTCTGAAGAGTCAAAATCTACTACTCTATGTGTATGAAACCTGTCAGATAGTATAAATACCTCCTAACAGTTTGTAAGTCAACCTTGAGCAGGGGACGGGGGGAGGAGAGAGGAAGGAAAAGCAAACTTTTCTGTAATGTGTAAACCTTGGGGCTTTAAAACAAGTCTTTAAATTTGTTGGCACTTAAAAATCCAAAAGATTTAATTAACTTTATATAGTGCCCTACAGATGTTTTGGACTACAATCTTAGAACCTTTGCTAATAGCCACCCTGCTTATTTCTGCTTTTAAGAAATACAATTATTTGTGAGGTTTTATTTTTATACTCCCCAAGAGAGTTTTTAGATCGGAAACACGTCAATATAGGGAAGGAGACTAATTTCCCTGAGGTAGAAAAGGACGGGGTGGAATTGCTTTGACCAACTGGTACAGACTCCCCTGCCTGTTCCTCTTCATCCCTTGCCCCAGATCTAGGTAAACAGCATTCTTGGTAGCTGTGCATATGATTCTCTGGCATTTTGCAAATGTGAAATAAAAGGATGAGGCCAATTCCAAATGTCGATAAAAGAAATTTTAATATCCTGTTCCAGTTGCAGCAGGACAATCAAATGCCATGTTGTCTCCAAACAGGCACGCAAAGGTCATCATAACAAAGCCAGTGAAAATGACAGCATTGTGGGTGGGGGAGGTGGGAGAGCTGATGAAAGCACATGTCCTACAAAGTCCAATCGTCGAAGATTCTATAAGAGTGCAGAATAGTCTCTGCTCAAGGTTAAATTAAAAGATGGGGAGTTTGATTAAATCTCTGCCCCACACATTGGAGATTCAATAAAGTTCCAAACTCCCACGTTTTCCCCTGAAGTGTTCAAAAGTATAGGAAATTGAGCCCCTCAAGAGGTCTGGTAGGCATCCAGCCCAGCAAAATCAAAATTGAACCCATCTACATGACGCAAAGATGCATCACCTTTTCCAGCCAAAGACACACTGGGCCTTTGAACATCCTGCGAAATGTGAATGTGAATTTATGTGATTTCTCCACATGCATTCAGTGGTTTCCTCCTTCTGTCACATTAAGCATAACAAATTATTGGCAACTTTTGGAGGAGTCTTCATGACCTGCAGGTCGGGCATCCTTGACATAGATGATATCCTGCTTTGTGCACATACCAGAGCTAACACTTCTGGACCTCCTTCAATATTGTCTCCTAGGATCCTTTGCTAGGTATCCTTCATTTAAATATTACCTTGTATTCTTAATCTGGAGCTGCTTTAACAGAGTGAAATCCCATAGAGTTCCCTGACAATTTTGCTAGCTGCAAAAGACCTTGACACCATGTCAAGATTCACCATTAATGAATCTTCCCACAGAAAACTTCATTTCTATACCATCCAGTCTCTTGTGTTCCCTCAACCTTTCTCAAGTTAGCTTTCCTCAATCCTGTTTCTTTTTCTTCCGGATGAGTTCAGACTGCAATGCTCAGAACTGCCAGCCACCATGGCCAACTGCCATGTTGATTTTGTTGACTGGGGATCTGAGGTCACCTCTTCTTCCACCTCCACTCTCCACCTGCCTTGTATGTTCTCTTGACATGTCATCAGAGAACTTTGTGAACTCTGGGAGAAATGACATTTTCTTTTGCTTACTCCTTCCATGCCATGGTTACCAATAACCCTAGCAAATTTCTGCCATGCCCTTTCTTCTTCAGACTTTTTTTCTCCCTTCTCTGATTTCACTTGGCCTCTCATATCTCAGCTGCAAAAGTCCAGGTGCCACTAGATGGCAGCAAAAAGATATGGAACACTCTGCTGCTACCGAGCGGCCATCCCAATGTCTGCAGCCCAGATACGGTAGCCCTACAAAACTGTTGAAACAAAGAGAAGTTCACTTGAAAGAGAACCCATAGCAGAGGAGGTGCATTAGATTACGGTAGTCAAGTTAAAAAACAAAAGACACATCAATTTGCCTTGGCAGGAAGCTTAACTTACAAAGAATATTTGTCATGGATTTAGCTGTTCAGCTTCCTACCTGGTCCACCTACTGGGTGGAGTTGGGAAGGCACCAGTTGGTTGGCTGGTAATGGCACCAGGAATATTTCCACCTGGCTGCTTTCCACAATGCCATATCTCTGTCTGTTGTTCAGGTAGGTGTACAGTGTGTGGTAAGGGCCAACATCTTTGGGCAAGCTGGGGTGGAATCGTATCACCCCCATTCCCTAAAGAGAACGGCAAGAAAAAGGCCATTAGCTAATGGGAAATTCTTTTTCAGTATAAAAATTTATCTATATAATTTATGTTTTTTCTTGCAAGAATGAAAGCAGGGGCTTCCTTTGCCACCCACCCACTGCAGGAGTTTGTTTTTTTGTTTGTGTGTGTGTCTGTGTGTGTGTGCATGTTTGGGGAGTTACCTTGTGTTAAGGAGTTATGTTGGCAAACTAAGCCTAACCCACACTTGTCAGATCAGACAGGATTCCCTAAATATAAACAGCTTGTTTTCTTACCTCCTTAAACTGTCTTAGAGAAAACACAATTCCTATCTGCCCTCTAATGGGACAGAGGGGGCACACCATTATGCCCTCAAACTACCTGAGATTGGGATGAATTTTTATTGAATCAAATTACAGGGTGGAGTAAAGGAAGCAATGGCTCACTGAGTCCAGGCCCTCTCTCCTCCTGCCCATGGAGGTATGCCAGGCTGCTTCTAGCTGTATTATTTCCAAGCCAGAAGACAGGGATTCAGGTTGAGTCACTCTCCAGATTTCCTGCAGCTGCTCCTACAGTGTCTGGTGGATTGGGTTGGGCTAGAAGACAGGAAGAGACATCTGAGATGAAATGGGAGCATACAGAAGCGCGAGGGGTTTCATTCCAATGGTAGCTGATTTATCACATCCCTGAGAAGAAAGGGGCCTCCAGTTCCCAGTTGATGGGGCCATTCAAGCTTTTCTATTCCTTCACTAACCTTCCTTATTTTGATCACCAGGAAGGGCTTCTGGGGAGAGAGGGGCTGCCCCCTACAAAAGACTGTGAAGAACCTGTTTGGAAGACGTCTTGCTCAGGTCACCTGGTGGGCTTTAAACTAAATTTGGAGGAAGAGGAAGACCAATATCCAGGACCACACTCAAAGCATAAGCCCGAAGGCAGTAAACTTTCAGCAAGGAAGGAAGCGGTAAGAAGAAAGGGGTGCTCAGGAATACACTACAAGATACAGCCGTTCTTAGAGTTACTAAAGGGCTCAGATGCCTGTCCACTGATGCACAGAGTACAGGGAACAAATAGGGAGAAGCTGAAGTCCTGGGATTGGTGGCGGTGGGGTAATAAATATGACATTGCTGGTATTGCTGAAACCTGGTGAGATGGAACTCAAGACTGGACTATAGCACTGAAATGATACAATTTGTTCAAAAGAAACAGATGCAACAAAAGGGGAGGGGGATCGCATTATTGAAAAGGAGTATGGAAGTTCATGGCACGAAGGATGAAAAGCCTACCAAAAGCGTTTGGGTGAATATTAAATATTAAAGGAAAAAGAAATGATAACGACATAGTTGTGGGTGTGTATGACAGGCCACCCAACCAAGAAGAAAATATAGATGAAATCTTCACAAATAAGATGGCTGCAGTGTCCAAGAAACACACCAATGTAGTAATGGATTATTTCAACTACCCTGATATCAACTGGGAATCAAACTCTGTGGCAAGCAGGAGATCCAACAGGTTCTTGACATGCCTTGAAGACAACTTCCTTGTTCAAAAGGTGGAGGAGAGAACTAGGGGATCAGCTATACAAACTTAACACTGTACCTACTAACAGGGAAAAAATGGTTGAAGAAGTGGAAACTGCAGGAACTTTGAGCGTGTGACTGTAGAATTCACCACACTGCAGGCAGGGAGCGTTCTAGATTTCAAGGGAGACAGCTGACTTCAATAAGCTAAATAGGAAGGATTCCATGCATGGAAATCCCGAAGGGAAAAAGTCTTCAGGAGGCTTGGGAAATTCTGAAAAACAAGTTAATTGAAGCCCAAATGCAAACAGTGCCAAAAAGAAAGAAAAATGGGAGGCAGCTGATGAGACCAGCATGGTTCCAAAAAATGCTGTCTGATAAACTGAGAAACACAAAGGACACATTTTTAAAAAATGGAACAAAGGGCATTTAATGAAATCAAACCTGTAAAGATGGGGTCAGGAAAGCTAAGGCTCAGAATGAATTGAGGCTTGCAATGAATACCAAAAAATAACAAAAAGGCCTCTTTGAGTATGTGCAGAAGAAAAGAAAAGTCAAGGAAACAATGTGTCTGCTGGTTGGAGAAGATGGCAAGATGGTGATGGACTAGAAATTGAGATCCTGTGAGTTCTAGGGCAGGGGGTTGGACTAGAAGACCTCCGAGGTCCCTTCCAACCCTAGGATTCTGTGATTCTATGATTCTAGTCCTCCCTGAGGCATGAAAGCCCTCTGGGTGACTTTGGGCCAACCCCCTCTCTCAGCTAAATCTATCTCACTGGGTTATTGTTTTGGGGAAAATAGGAGGTGGGGGCCACTTTGAGTTGTACAAAGTAAAGGTGAGATATACATCTAACAATAACAACAAGAGGAAAAAGGCTGAACTGCTTAACTGACCTTCATTTTAAAAAGGAAAAAGAGACAGCCAAAATGTACCAAAAAGAAATCAATATATGCTTCATTGATTATAGAAAGACCTTTGATTGTGTCAACCACAGCAAGATGTGGAACGTCCTTAGAATATGAAAATGACAGAACGTCTCACTGTCCTCCTGCATAATCTATGCACAGGGCAGGAAGCCACAGGCCAGATGGAACATGGTAAAACCAACCAGCTCCAGGTTGCCAAAGGAGTGAGACAAGGCTGTATACCCTCCCCTTATTTAGTCAATCAATATGCTAAATACATTCTGAGAATGAAAATATGAGGATAGTTTTAAAATTGAAGGAAGAAATATCAATAACTGCACAATGCTGATAACACCACTCCGACAGCTGAAAATGCAAATGAACTTCAAGCTCCAGTAGTGAAAGTCAGGGAGAACAGTGAAAAAATGGGACTAACATTAAATGTAAAGAAGATCAAGCTGATGACAGCAGGTACAACAACCAGCCTTAAAACTGACAGTGAAGACATTGAAGTGATGGATAGCTTCTGCTTTCTAGGATCGACTATCCACAGTAATGGAACAGCAGTCAAGAAATACGCCGCAGACTAGCCCTTGGTAGAGCGGCCATGAAGGCCTTGGAAAAAATCTGATGCTGTGATCTCTCTATACCTGCAAAGATATATTGTGCAACCCATGGTTTTCCAACTCTGAAGAAGCAAGCAAGCAAGAGGATTGACACTTTCGAAATCTGGTGTTGCAGAAGACTGCTGAGATAGCTAAGAAAACAAGTAAATAGATCAGAGAATAACTTGATCCAGCGTTCTCATCTGAGGGACAAATGCAGAGGCTGAAACTGTCATATTCTAGACATCTCTTACAAAGATGAGAAATCCATAATGCTGGGAAGGGTGAAAAGGAAGTGCAAAAGAAGACAACCAGCAGCCAAGTGGAAGGACTCAGTTACAGCAGCAACGGGTGCACCACTGCAAGACCTGAAGCACTAGATTTGGAGACAGATCATCCTGGAGAAAATCGACTTTTGTGGCCACTAAGAGTTGACACTGACTTGATGGCACAGACTCATCAAACAGGAAGCTCCATCAATACATAATAGCAATCCTCCATGCTTAAAGGGCTGTCATGGGGAAGAGGGTGTGGATTTATTCTCTGTAGTACGTGAGGGAGGTCAAGAATCAACAGGTGAAGCTTTTCAGAGAGAGTTCCAAATATGAAATAAGGAGGAATTTCCTGTGAGAACTATTATGCAGATGAATGCCCTGCTTCCTGGAGCCATGGGTGCTCCATGACTAGAGGTTTTCAAACAAGGTTGGACAGCCATTTCTCTGGGACATTCTGGGGATTCCTGCTATGGGCAGGGAATTGGACTAGGAGACCTCTGTCCGCCTTCCCAGGTGGACCAGACAGGAAACACGACCAGATGAGCTAATTCTACTCTACTGTAAGGCTGCATTAACAGACTCTTGCAAGTCTGAAAGTACAAAGTTCAAATCTCCCACTGTCTCCTTTACAGCCTGGGGAGCTAGGGAGGGTCCCTTCTGAGCTTCTTTCTCCACCCATTATGCAGCTACGGCTATGCCCTCTCTTATCTGATTGTTCCCTAGGCAGTATCTCTTCCCCCTGTCTCCCAAGGTCTTTCCCACATTCCATTACAACCTCCAAGGTCCCTTCAAACCCTCTGATTCTATTTCAAGCTTTCTCTGGGTTTGCTTTCTTCATGAAAACCCCTGCTCACTCCCTCATTCTATTCCTAGGATAAAACAAAGATGCAGATACAGGAAAGGTTATTCATGACTAATGTGTTGGTTATTTAATGAAATATTTACAAATGTACTACCACTTATTAGATGAAGACCATAAGTAATAGATAACAAAATGCAGCTACCTGGATTTTGATTAAATGTAAAGAAAATCTTCCTGATGGTAAGATCTGTATGACAGTGGAAAAATCTTCCCACAGAGGTTACGAGTTTTGCATCTCTAGATGGTTTGAAAAAGAGGCTGGACAGCCGACTCTGATGGATGGTTTAATTGGTTTTCCTGCACATTGCAGAGGAGGAGGATCTTTGTGGTCCTTCCCAACTCTATGAATCTATTGAGCAAGCGTGTTCCCGTCACCTTTCAACCAAACTACAAGGTCTTTCATTGGGCATGTAGAGTTGCAGAATACTGCAGGTTATTCTAACAGAGAATTCTAAAGATACATACACAATCACAAATACAGCCACATACTTCAATAAGATGTCATTGAGTTCAGCTCAAAGGTGTTTCAAAGCAAAGCTACAACTCTTCATCCAGGAAATCACTAGAAGTATTAAAAGAAAAACTTGCTTGACATTTTGACTACACTTCAACAGCAACTCTCTCCTCTTGGTCATCAGAAGATGGAGCTGACAGGAAAGGATTCTTCTATTTCTTGAGAAGTAGGGCCAACTAAAGAGTTTGTTCTGTCCCCTGAGAGAAGACCCCTTCACTCTTGGCAAGCAGGTTATTTTTTTGTTCCTGTCTGTTCTAAGCCACTTTAGGACTGGCTAAAGAAGAAAAAGAATTTAGGTTCTCATCAGACCCTTTTCTTTAGTTCCCCTCTTGTTATTGGAGTTAGTCAGGAAGAGAGAGGGAGAATCGGAATCAGTCTGAGCAACTGATGTGTGTTTTCTGGCCTCCCTCTGTGTCTCAGGACAGATGTTGGCAAGCAGGAGATGGCCTGGGTTTGGTATTGATGGATGAGATCCGAAGAGGCACCTCCCTCCTGCTTCCTCAAGTCAAGCGTTTTCTTCAGGAATGAAAATCTCCTTTGCTGGCGGTTCACAGATGTCCATTCTGCAGTTTGAACTTGTTTCTTCAAGGGTTGGCTACCCCTATTTTCTGGAAAACTTGTGGAAGTGGAAAACTGCATTAGAGGTAACATTTACTTCAGCCAGGCAAGTGGGGCAGAACCCCAATCTGTCAGGGTAAGGACAGCTTCTGTGCTTCCCACATTAATAGACGGATCCTCCATCTGAAGCCGCCTTTCATTTCCAAGACCAATTCCTTATTCCACAGATGATAGTTTCGCCTCATCTCTTTCCAAAACCCCCTCATCTGAGAGAACAGGAGTGCCAGTGGTGTAAATGAGATGTCCAACAATCTGTTAGAAGCTATCTGAAATACATTGCTACATTTCTGTTGTTCTGATAGCCTACTGTGTCTTACAAGAGAGCATCAAGATCAAAGGGGTTGGGAACTATAGTTGGTGAATATGTTAGAGTGCGTATTAATTTTGCGCACCTCTCTCAATACAGCCTCGTAATGCAGGGATCGCTGTTAGAAGCAACCATGTCTCTCGTGAAACAAGGCGGCATTTCATTGCTGGAGATTTGCTGGCTGTTCATCTGAGCCAACCCTGCCACATGTATTAAACATTACAGGATTGATAAATTGGCATTTTCTGAGGTGCATTTGGACAAACAAGGAAGTGTATGAGAGCCTGGCCTACCCAAGGGGTACTGCTGTGATACAGCCCTTTCCTTCAACTCCACTCTTCCAGTGATTGTGGATGAACATTAACCTTGCTGTGAACAACTCTTCTAACAGTCTCTGCTTTCTGTACATGTGTGTGGGTCTTCAAGTAAAGAACAGTTGTCCTCTCTATCTCCTGTCCTGTTTTCTTCACTCAGAGATCTGACTTACCTTGGTGGCTCCTGTTTTATTCTGTGGCTGTTGTCAAATTTTATGACTGAAGGAGTCTCCTCTAAGGAGTCAGGGCAAGCTCCTTGAGTGGTCCTGCCTTCTCAAGGAACAGAGAAATAACTAATAACCCTTTCCAGTCAGGACCAGAAGAGTTCACAATAAAAACAACCTCATGACTCATTCAAGGAACAGTATCAGTAGCTACTACAAAAGCAGAATCTGGAAGAAAGAACAGAGAAGGAATCAGACTCAGACAAACCTGTGCTGGATGCCAGTTGGAGCCTCCTAAAAGGATTCTGGAAGCTTGGAAGTTAGTTTGTTAGGATGTGAGTAACGATCCCTGAACAAAGTAAGAATCTGGGGAGAATTAAGATACCTTTCTGTTTTCTGGCCATATGCTGTCTACATAAGTCCAGACATCCTCGGGGAGAATACATCCCTTTGACTGAAGGATTGCTGGTAAAGCCTACAAGAAAATAGAAGAGGCAGACCTTCAGTGTTGCAATAAAGAAAACTCCATATCTGGCTGTAAAGCTGATCCAGATGGAAGCATTATATACACTTTTCATCAGCATTCCTGATGGAGGTATTTCAAGATAAGAAAACCAGTAGGGCAGTCCCCATAGCAAAAAAAACCATAGATATGTTTGAGGCTTTCTAATAAGCTTCTGGTGGAAGCAGGACGTTCCTACCCTGCAGCTTACAGAAGTCCGTAAGAATAACTGTGGTCCAGTTCCTTGATCATAACCATTCTGATTGCTCCTTCTCCATCTTTCTCAGCTCCACAATACCATTCGTGGAGCTCAGTGACCAGAATAGTATTCAATATGCTAAGCATGGGTGCACCAGAGATGTATATTTAAAAAGCTTATTACAGGTTATTTCATTTTCATTCTCTTTCCTTATTTTGACTTTTGCATTTTATTTTATCAAATATTTTAAAGTAGATACATAAACCAAAAAAAGAAACAGGAAAAAAGAAATAAATGAATAAAATATAAATAAATAACAAAAAATTTACAAATGCCATAGAAGCTATACTTTTCCAACACATCATTATTTGTGAATAACTGAATATATTATATCATTTTAAAAGACTGAAATTGCTGTTAAGCCCTAAGCAAAGCATGAATATCAATAAATAGGGTTAAAATAGCATAAATCACCGAGTGAGATTATAAGTTACAATAAATTCTGTCCATATTGCTAAAAGTCTGTTCTGATTTTAAAGTTCTATAGAAATGAAATATAGATTCTACACATAAAGAAACCCAAATTTTGAATGTTGTCTAGAAATGGTTTCCAGTTTAAATTAAATTCTGTATCAGGTTTACTTTTAAAATAGGAAGTTATCCTAAATATCAAAGCATACTTCCACAAGTTGGTTAACCATTCTTCCATTGAGCAGATCAAACAACTTTTCCAGTAAAAAGCATATAATATCCTTGCAGCAGCTAGCTTGTACAAAGTTAACTCAGTATACATGCTTTAGTAAACTTTTGATAAAAACATAAAATTTTAAATTTTATTAAATTTTATTTAATAAAAATAAAAAATAGGAGATTGAAATGGGAATTCCATTTTTAGGATTTGTTTCATTCTGGTATGAATAATTTTCCAGAACTGCTGAGCTTTACAACACTGCCACCATTACATTACATTACATTTCCAGCAATTTTAGAAAATGAATTATCCGTTTTAGTGATCAGAACTGGAATAACATACCAATGGTAAAGCACCTTATAGCAATTTTTATCTGAGTATAATACTCAGGAAAAATTTAATATTCTTCTTTCTACTGTTGCTTCATTGTCCTTCCTTGTGATCCCTCCTGGACTTTGCCTTTTGTAGAGCAGATGGCCGTTATGTTAATGTCTACCTCACTTTAAGATCCTTTTTCTAGTCACTAATGACCAACTCAGAGCTACAAAAGCTAGTTAGAATGTTTTGCTTCAGTGATCATCAGCTAATATTGCTTTACCCTGAACTGCATTTGCCATTTTACTGATCACCCCACCCACTCCCACCCCAAGGTTGGAAAAATCCTTTTGGAATGCTTCAAAAGGATCCCTCTTGGTTATGATGCCAAATTATGTAGAGCAGTTGGCTTCTTCTCTGCTCACTCCATGCTCCTGATCGTTGATGAACAAATTAAAAAGCAATGGTTCCATAAAGTTCGTTTTGGGATGCCACTATCTCTCTTCACTGAAAGTTCTGTCTTACTTACTTATTTATTTTTCAAATTTGTCACTGCCCATCTCACTGCATTATGTTCTCTAATTTCTACTCTTTAACCCAATGTTTCTCAACCTCAGTAACTTTAAGCTGTGTAGACTTCAACTCCCAGAATTGCCCAGCCAGCATTCATTAAAAAAAACATTTTTACTCTATACTTACTCATTTTGCTAAAAAAAAAAAAAACTTTGCCAAAAAACCATTTTAAAAGTCCAAATAAACTATCTCGGATTAGCTCATCCCTTATTAACACTTGCAAAGAACTCGAAAAAGACAGCGAGAAAGGACTTCCTTTTGTAGAAACCATGCTGATTCTCCTTAAGCAAGTAAGGTCTACTATACCTTATCAGTTTTCTGAATTACATTACTTATTTCTTACATTTTAACTACCCAGAGTTTCTCTGTTACTCAGTGTTACTCACTAGCATATCCAAATAATCCTTGGTATAGTACAATATGGTTATAGCAGGATCTAAATTCTTGGAACCTCAATTTTGGCTTTTGTGTTAAAAAAGAACACTGATGGGTCGCACCTCCCAGGGTAGAGCCAAAAGGAGCTCTATTTTTACTATTTCGCCTTCCCGCTGCTCTACAGACTCATTATTTCACAGCAATTTGTTACTCTTTCCGAACACCTTATTTTGCAATTGCTTTTATAAAAGTGCATTTTAATGCATTATGCAATTATGTATTTAATGCTCACCCATACTGGGTAATGTTCTAATGATGGAAGCAGCACAATGGTGAAATTCCACACTCCTTCAAGGGAGCACGGGAGGGCTGTGCTATTATTATACGTCGGGACATCAGGAAGCTGTCTGGTGCCATCGCTGCATCACAGCGAGGGACAGGACTAAAATATTTTGGCCCTTTTTGGTGGTGTTAAGGGTGGGAATGGGAATCCGAAGGTGAGCTGCTCCCATTTCAGCTTCAAAGATAATGCCAAAATGGGGGGGGAAAAAAAAAAAGGTTAAATCATGCTGCCCCAAAATCACACTGCCAAAATTGGCCATTCTGTGGCCAAATTTCAGCAATGGAGTCTTGGGGTCCTGGAGGCTGTGCGCATCTCACAGATAGCCCCTACCTGATTCAGCTACTCAAACCTACTCCTACCTGACAGAGCTGACAGCCATAACCAGAAACAGGATACGCTTTGGCCACAAACTGCTTCACGCTGAACATCTGGATAAGCCCGTTCCAGATGACTGAGCGGCTGGACTGCTTTCTCACCTGTCGCTTTCGGTTTGGAGTGCTAGCAACAGCAGGCCTAAAGAAAGATGGAGAAGTCTGCAGATCGTGATCGGTTGCACAGGTACACGCCAACTCCTTTGGGTTTTCCTATTTCATTTCTTAATTAATCACAATGGGTTTCCACTCATTTTTCATGCAAGCACCTTCCATATCTATCACCTTTGTTTCTTCTTGCATTGCCTCAGAAGATACACAATATTTCTCCGGTAAAATAGAAAATGAATTTCAAATTGAAATGACAACTGGAACCCAAAGCAAGTCGAACAGGGGTTACCTGACATGGATTTAGCTGAAAGAAATGCACAGCACGTGTACTTGTGGAATGGTCACAGAGCAAGCAAGCGGACAAGAGATGAAAGAACAGGAATCGGACGGCTTTACTATCTCGCTGCCAACTGCTAGCAATTGACCCAAAGGATCTAACCCTTCCTTGTTTTGCTGATACCTTCTTTCGCCCGAAAGAGATGGATTTGGCCAAAGGACACTGCATTTAGCTCCTATTCAAACCTTGCACAGAAGAAGCAAACAGAGAAATAGGACCCAGGGGTTAAAAGAAATCCACCATTTTCTCAGCTCAAAAATCTTCTTCCAGAGAGAACACAGACAGCAATTGTCTTCTTTTGCGCTGGATAGAAAAAGGAAATATTAAACTTGCTTCTTGCTGTCCAGAAAAGGACACCATTTGGGACGCAATCTACAGCCCAGCCATAAATTAGGAGAGTAAAGTTGTGAAATGGAACATGCAACCTTACCTGCTGGAAACTCAAATACTTTAGAGATGACCACTAGAAAATAACAGTCCAGCGTGTTGCTCTGGCTTCATTACGTTTGACTTTCAGTGTGTGTTTCTCTCCTGAATGTGATAGCAACTGGAAACTTGGGGGCGGGGAGAAGTTTTGCCATGACAAAGATGGAAAATATTTGGATATGTGCAGCTGCAAACATCCTTATGACCAGGTGATTGATATCTAAGTAGAGATCTATTTAAATTTGCAAGTGGGATAAGTGTGTATAAAACCTCCCTTGTATCCATTTTTCGCACATCCCCATTTGCACTACTTGCTGAGCACACTATTCACATATGTCCTTCCCTTTCATTCATTCATCCTCATCAATTTTTATTTGTAGCCCACCTTTTTGCCCAGACAGCACTCAACACAACTAACTAAAGAATAAAACAAATACAGATAATCCTCGACTTATGACCACAATTGGGACCAAAACTTCCATCACTAAGCAATACAGCTATTGAATGAGTTGTGCCCAATTTTACGACCATTTTTGTGGCAGTCGTTAAGTGAATCCTGCTTCCTCCATTGACTTTGCTTGTCAGAAGCCTGCCGGGAAGGTCACAAATGGTGATCACGTGACCCTGGGACGCTGCAACTGTCGTAAATACATGCCAGTTACCAAGCGCCAAAATTTTGATCACATGACCATGGGGACACTGCACTGGTCGTAAGTGCAAGGACTGGTCATAAGTTACTTTTTTCAGCACCATTATAACTTTGAACAGTTGTTAAATGAATGGTCGTAAGGCAAGGACTATCTATACTTGAAGGACTGCCACAGGGAAAATGGTGTGGATTTATTCTTCATAGTACATGAGAGTAAGACAAGAACCAATGGATGGAAGAGGGAGATTCAAACTCCAAATAAGGAGGAATTTTCTGACTATAAGAACTATGAAGCAGTGGGACAGCCTGCCTCTGGAGTTTTGGGGGCTCCATCAGTGGAGGCTGGACAGCCATTTGTCTGGAATTGTCTGAAGATTCCTGCCCTGGACAGAGGCTGGACTAGAGACTTCCAAGGTCCTTCCAAACCTGTGATTCTATAGTTCTATCAAAACAAAATATGATAAAAAGAATTTAACCTAACTATCAGCTAATTCTAACTGAAAAGGCCTAACCAACAAGGAAGGTCTATTCACAGACACAGACAGGCTAATTCCAAATGTTGGGCAATCCTTAATATCCCTGACTAATTCTTCTTTACTCTTGTTTTCACCGTTCTTTCACCTAGCCCTTCTCCTTGACCCAATTCACAGCGTCATCTAACGAACAAGCAAGAGGGGGCTGCTGTTCTTTGCTGTGGCTACAGCCAACTTCCACAAAAAGAGTCAGCCAGATGAGTGGTGTAAAGAAGACGGAAAACGACCTCGATGGAGATATGCAGGAACCATTGCTTAGGCAAAAGGGGCTGAAGCATTTTTAAGCCCAGAAGTACAAGATAACATTTGGCAGTGGCTCAGGCAGACGCCTCCAAATGCACTGGAGTATAAGAAGGAGGAGGAAGTTCAGCACCATCAGACTTGCAAAATTCTGCCATTACTGCCAATCTCAATAAAAGCAGTTTTAGCCTTCCTGCAGAGTTGACTTCCTGGTCTGGTCTACCTGGGGGGCTGACAAGGGACTTCTGGGGTTCTCTGCAGGCTACAGCCCTCAAATGCCACAGATGTCCAGTGCAGACCCAGACACACCCTAACTGCTGGCCCTGGAAGTGTGATGACTTATTCCCTTTCTCTTCTCTCATCTATCGCTTCCCTTAAGAGTACTGAGATCCTTCTATTCCACTAGGTGACTGTTCTTAAACTTCTGAGGGGCTGGAATATTCCCATAACATTCCTTAAGACCTCTGGAAGCTGTTATTAAAAAGGTCAAGACACTAAGTGGTCGATGTTCACAGAACGTCAGTCTTCAGTTATAAAATACATGCAATTAAAGAAGCATAAATTGTGCTAACGGACAGACCTGTCGTCATCCAGAGGTCTCCTGTCGTCTTCCGAGTATGTGATGTTTTGATGCAAAATTTTAGAGGTGTTGACCTTCTGCTTAAAAGTACATGTATATGTAGGTGGCTCAAATCCTTTCTTGCTGTCAGCAGCCAACTCTCCTGCTCAGCCAGAAAGAAATATACTGTAGTTGTAAGAGTTGTTTTCAATTACATTTTAAATTATCCCGGGTCGATTTTTCAGAACCCACGTTTATAACTCTAACATTTAAATGGCACGTCCTGAAACTTGAGACTGATCCTATCACTTAGTCTCCATGATTAACACTACTGTTTATTGTTTATTCAAAAATGTCAACATCAGTACAACTTTCTGGTTAAAAGCGTTGGACTCTCACAGCGTTGTTTTTCTCCTCCAAATCGTCCTACGGCTCCCTCTGACAATATCATTCCCTGGAGAAAAAACTAATTTTGCCAAATTCTTGTAGCCTCTCAAATGAAGTGGTAACACAGCCAAACAATGACAGGTGTGGTCCCATCCCTGGAATGTTTGCAGAGACTCCCCAGCTGTTTGAAAACCAAAATGTATTGCATTCAGTTGCATTCATTCATTTCAGAATATATTCACTGGAGGCAGTGGATCTGTGCCAAAGCCTGGAGCCAGATGTTTCTTGTAAAATCCAGAGTACCTTGAATGCAAAATTTAGAAGCACCAGCGTAGCTTTGAGCCTTACCCACTCTAAGTTGAAAATACAAATAAAACAGACAGAAGCCCCTTAAAGCACATTAGCACTTAGAGTCACTTGGACAATTGAGGCAGCTTATATATTAACCAAATAAATAAATAGACTTACCTCTTTGGTTGCCCACAACTGATGATGGTGCCTCACCATAAGAGTTCCCCTCCTTGCGTAGCGACGATTCCTAAAAGTAATGCACCACCATGAGAGTTATTATGCTTTTAATTTTTAGCCCCACCAGTTGATATCTACAATAAAGTCAATGAAGGCTTGCAGCTTGAGTGCTATAAACTGTGGGGGCCCTTTTTAGCTTCTCATCAACATCTACCACCAGGCTCTTGGAGCTGATCCAACAGGAGGAACATAGTTTGCCCAAAGTACTGATAACAATATCAGCAAATGAAGCCAGTAATGAAAAATCTATGATGCCCTAAACAATATTAGTTTTTAGTCATCTTCCCCCAGGATTCCAATTTCCATAGTGTGGAAACACCCATTTGTTTAACTTCTACAGCAATTAACGGAAATGTTAATTCCAAGTAGAGCGACGTTGCATGTAGGATGATAAGAGTTGAAAAGGAACTTGGGAAACATCTAGTCCAGACAGCTGCTGCTTTTGCAATGTTATCTCCACTGTCTATGACAAATTATACAGAATCCCAGGAATTTCACCCTATATAACACGAATACAAACCGATTTTATTTGGTTGATCCGCTGCCTTTCTGCTCTGAGAAGCACTCAGGGGGGCAAGCAAAATCGAAAAGCAAAGGCAGCATAAAAAGTGGTAAAATACTTTTTAAAAAGAATGATAAATACTGAAACCATCTAAGAACTAAACACCCAGTGAAAAGGATGCATCTCTACAAATTCACGGCAACGGAAGGCAAGGAGGCCAAAGGAAACTCCCAAGTTACACGGCAGTGCAGGAGAAGGCTTCTGCCTCCATGCCAGGAAGATGGATCTCCATGCCAAGCAGACGGGTCTCTGATGGGTCTCTGACAACATCTTTACAAGGGCCTCTTCTTCAGATCTTAAATAGGGCAGTGTTTCTC